ACCCTTCAAATAATTGACAATCCCACTCCATGCATCACCTCTATAGCCATCAAGCCTAAAATCCTCGTTGTTCTCCAAGTCCAATTGCTTTCCAAAAGATCCCGCTCCGTTAGTCTCCTTAAAATCTGTAATTAAGCTCACAAAACTCGAAAGAACCCGAAAGTGGTCATAAAATAACAAAAAGGAAAATATGCATGGAAATTATCTAAATTGTGAATGAAATATGCTAAAATAAACTATAAAAAGAAGTAAATAAAATGAAGCTATCAAGATGTTGTTATAGTTGGTGACATTGTAGGATGTAATATCTACAAGAAAGGCAAATTTCCGGTTTTTCAAGACGTTCATTTGATTTGGAAATAGGTGCAAACTGTCGCCAGCCTGTAAGAAGATTGTTTAATATATTAAAACAAATAAAATGTTATTCGATAGAAAAATATGAATAAAATATTATACCGCTTCATGTATTTTTTTCAACTCGAATGCACTTATATCCAACAGCCTTTTTGCTTCTCTATCAAAAAGAGTTAATCCAATGGTGCCAGTATGATCTTGTACATTGATTGGAATTATATACCTAAAAAAAATTAGATTAATAGTAATTTTGATGAAAGATTGAAATGATTAATTAATATAAATAGATATGTGTATACTTTATAACAGTATGAAAATTCGAATCATTGCAAGCTGCATTTTTACACTTAATAACAACACTATCTTCCATCTTGCCGGGGGCGGTATAGGAAAGATTGGTTTTGGGCACATTGTTTACCCTGCTTCCACATTTGTAACACGCTTCGTAATACCAAGGTAGATTCTGTGTTATATTCACAATGGAACCAACTAATAGAATTTTCATTTCCTATATAAAAAAAATGTAAAATTAAAAAAAATACAATATTTAAATAAAATTAAAAGATATAAAATCAATAAAATATACCTTTAGTGGTTCTGTTATCTCACAAACAGTTTTTAAAGGGAAATTCCCTTTGAAATCATCTATATAAGAAGAAGAGTAGCTTGGAAGTGTAGTTATGCTTTTTTCAAACATACCACCATTGTTATCTGCTTTCAACCTGTAATGTTTAAAATTATATTATTAAATATAAGAAATTGTATTCATTTAAATAATAATTATAAGATAAATATGTTTAAAAAAAACAAAAAAAAAACGAACTCTTTCTTAAAGTCATTAATTTCCACAATGTCAGAATTAATGAACATCTTGGTTACATCGAAATGACTTTGAGCTTGACCAATTCCTGTAAAAACAGATAAGTCAATAAAAGAAGATTCGAAAACAGATTAGGCAATAAACTACAAACCATTCCAAACGTTAAGTTTGACAAACTGCATCACTATAACAACACAAGTAACCGTGGTGTTACTTTTCAGGTACTGTGACATTTGGTGTGCCTGACTTCCAAATATAGTGATATTGAGGTGTACAGACCTAAATAAAAAATTAATTTAATTAGTATGAAAAAATATGATTCAAAATAATAAATAAATGAAATAAATATCATCTCACTGTAAGTTGGTAATAGTCATCTTTATGTAATGTCTTGATGGGTTAGGATTGGTTGTCTCAAGAGGCCTAAATGAGACAATTTGCCCAATAACATCTACATAATTTTAATAAAAAATAGTATATAAGATTAAGTTAAATACTAACATACTAACATTTATAATAAATTTCACAAGTTATAAAAGTGAATGGAATAAAATTAAACAACTAACCAAAGAATGAGTCTCTTGGGCATTTATGTTCGATAATAGAGTTAAAATCAGCAAACACAAAACCATTAACTGGACCCGAAAAATCATCACATTTTTTTACAATACTTTTACAATCCAAAGTTAAGGTCTGTTTCTGACCGGTAACACTAAAACCATTTTTAACAGCCGCCATGTTTGGTTTTAAAATGATATAACTTTCACCTTCCTTTAAAAGGTCACGAAATCTGGAAAAATTTTGACTGAAAACACGAGATTGGTATTTTGTACCCTGATAAAACAAATAAAAAAAATTATTCATTGAAACATATGAAATATTTAGTGGGTTTAAAAAAAGTTAACCAACCTCCTCGTCCATGATGATCATTTCAATCGATAAAACCTGGTTATTTTTTATAAAATTCCAAATCTTTAACACCCGTAGTTTGAGATGTGAATCATCAGCGATATGTTCAATGTCTTTTAGGTATATTTTACTGCCGATATTCATTTCCTGCAAACAATTCATAGCATATTGAAATTAATATCAATTTTGTATGACCATCGGCAAAACGGTCATTTTTGTTATTTTTGAGGTGCTACATTCACAGTTAAGCAGTTAAGCAGTTAAGCAGTCAAGAAAATAAACAATTAAGCAGTCACAGTGAACAAAGCATACCCAAATAGATAGATGAGGACATATACAATGTTTAAACCATTGACATAAAGAGTAACTATAAACAATTTATTATATTGCTATTGAAAATATAAACATACAGTAACAATGAGTAATACATTCAGATAGTCACAGTGAATAATACATTCATTAAGCAGTCACAGTGAACAAAGCATACCCAAACAATTTAGATACATTCAGTGAAAATCGTAGCATGACATAAAGAGTAACTATAAACAATTTATTATATTGCTATTGAAAATATAAACATACAGTAACAGTGAGTAATACATTCAGATAGTCACAGTGAATAATACATTCATTAAGCAGTCACAGTGAACAAAGCATACCCAAACAATTTAGATACATTCAGTGAAAATCGTAGCATGACATAAAGAGTAACTATAAAGAATTTATTATATTGCTATTGAAAATATATACATATAGTAACAGTGAGTAATACATTCAGTGAAAATCGTAGCATGACCGCAAATTATTATTGGTGACCATTTTTGTATATCGACTTTTATTTGTACATAGATCTAGTTGAAGTTAGCGATTTCATCGTGTCACCAACAGTGTGAATAATGATAAGAATGAAGCAGATACATATACATATACACACAAGGTAACAGATACACAAACGGATTGATAACAATGACAAATAGATTGAGATAGAAACAGATAGAAGGCGACTTCAAGAAAAACACAATGAATAATCATAACAAAAAAATTTAATAGCATACCTTAAAGCAATAACAGAAGGCGACTTGAAGATATTTTGGAAAATTTTCTTTTTCTCTGAAATTTGGAATCGCTGTGAATGAAAATAACCGTGACAATGTATTTAAGATAAATCGATTAGGTAAATTACGGGTTTTTAGGAATTGATAAGCATCATATATTTGAAAGATACGTTTATCGTTTGAAATTAAATAATGATTATTTACTTTCCATTTTTTTAATGTTGCAGGAAGAATTCAAATTGACGTCCAGAATTTTAGGAATCGATTGGTTACTTGAAGGGCAATATCAGAAATTAACATTATCAGAAAGAGTGGGAAAAATCGATTGGGGGGTGGCTATTTGACTGCCACGTGTACAAAGTCTACTTATTTATTAAAATAGGGGATTAAATGCTTGAATTATATTGTACTAGATGAATTCTCGCACGTTGCGCAGCGAAGATTAAAAATATATTGTTAAAATATTGAAAAATATATGTTTAAAATGGTTATGTT